GTTTATTATAGTTTTATTCATATAAACTTTTTAATTATTCGTTTGAAATTAAAAATGTTAATTTAAATGTTCAAATGTAATTTACAAATCCGGCTTGTGGATGAAGCGATATCGAGGACAGAAATTAAAGGAAAAGGATAAAACTATGTTATTATGTATATTATTATATAAAACTATAAATGATCTTTTTTATCGATGAAACTATCCTATGATCTGAATCTTGTCCATTCTCTTGTCTATGTCTATATCGTGTCTATATCTATTATCTGAATGCATCATAGATAAGCGATAAACGATCTGGGCTAGTAATTTGTTATCAGCTGTATAGTTTGCAAAAAGTAATATTAGGACTTGTAAGTGTTTACATAGAATAGTGTACTATGCAAATTGAATTGTAAACAATTATTATCGTCTATTCTTTTTGATAAGGTGTTTTTTTTACATTGGTTATCATTGAAATTGGAATGGGCTACAGTGGTACGTTTAACATGGCGTAAAACTTTGTAATTTATTCAATTGTTTAGGTGATTTAAACAAGTAATATTAATAAGCTTTGTTAGTATTTTATTCAAAAACGGTAATTTATCTTTAATCAAATGTCGGGATCGGAAAATAAGGTGGAAAGGACACGATGTTTTTTCGATGTGTCCATCGGCGGCTTACAATCGGGTCGTATTATCTTTGAACTGTTTAACGATGTTGTGCCTCGTACCTGTGAAAATTTCAGATGTCTATGTACTGGTGAAAAAGGTGAAGGAGAGAATACTAAAAAGCCATTACATTTTAAGGTATATTACCATAAAAAGAATTAAATAGAATAAGCACAGCATATTTGTAATCTTTTTAGGATAGTATATTTCATCGTGTTGTAAAAGACTTTATCATACAAGGAGGTGACTTTTCTAATGGAAATGGAACTGGTGGTGAAAGTATTTATGGGGGCACTTTTGAAGGTTATAGTTTTACTAATTATAATAAGTTTCCAACTCAATTGAAATATTTTATAGATCTTTTTATAATGTAAATATTCTGATTGCGGAATGTAATATAAAAATCAATTTGTTGCAGATGAAAACTTTACTCACTGTCATGATCGACCTTTTTTGTTATCAATGGCTAACCGAGGAAAAGACACAAATGGCTCACAGTTTTTTATGTAAGTTCTTAATTAAATTTTGGTAGTGTAGGAGTACATTTTGGTATATATAATTGTATAATTCATGTTGCCATGTATTCCAATTAATATAACAGGTAGATTCTATTTGAAAGATTCTTCATATGAAGTATTTGATGTGATTGGTATTTCTCCCTCTCATAAGTCAAAAACTCATTCAATTTGCGGTAGCTACAAGTACACGGTTGCAATACATAGTTATTGTCTGAACTCATCGTAAAAGCAGTTTTTACTAGCAGAAGAGCATCTGGACCGTTTTGTTTGTCATGTATGTTTGGATCAGGTTACAGAACTTTGACTTTTATTGTTCTGTAGCGCTGCCCCAGTCCCGGCTAAGCAGGTCTTCCCTCTGACTGATCATATGTTGTCATGTTTTGTGTTATAGTACTACGCAACCGGCCCCCCATCTCGACAAGTAAGTTTACATTTTGTATAAATTTAAACATCATGTTTTTATATAAACCAAAAGAGACACCATAATTACTACTTCTAATGTGGGCAAAGTACTTGTAGGCAGTAATATTTTAGAGATAATTAGATGGAGTCTTTTTTAGTTTATTTATTCCTTTAACATAATCTCCATTTACTACTTTAATTTTTTTTTTGTTTTTTATTTGATATTTGCTGATAAACTGTAAAGTACCAAATGGAGGGTTTATGTATCTGCACATTCTTCCAACTATTCTAAACAGACCATTGAATGACAATTGTTTTAATTTTATAGTGTCCATGTGGTGTTTGGTCATGTGGTTAGTGGAGTAGATGTGGTTCGTCAGATTGAAGCTCTACCGGTGGACGCCAATAGTCGCCCATTGCAGGATGCCAAAATAACGAGATGTGGAGAATTAGTGCGACAGGCGAAAGGTAAAAGATAATCCAATTTTTCAGTTGTATGTTTTATCTTATTTATTTTATAAATTCAGCAAAAAAGGAGAAAAAGAAAAAGGTAAGTAGTGAAGAGGAAGAAGAGGAGGAGGATTCAGATAAAGAGAAGAAAAAAGCGAAAAAGGCTGCAAAGAAAGACAAAAGGAAGGAAAAGAAAGAGAAGAGAAGAGGAAAAAGGTAATAAAAAAACAGAACCCGGAACACAAAAGTTAATGTTATTAATTAGTGATGATTGTAGTAAGAAGGAAACAAACGACGATGAACAGGAAGAAGGTGAAGTTAGAGAAGACGAACTTCATCCTCTTGCAATAGTAAGCAATATAGATCCAGAAGAAATCCCTGATGTGCCAGTGAATAAATTTCTTTTAAGAGGAGGACCCCCAAAAGAACATTCCAAAAAAGACGGAAAATATAGAGGTATCTGATATAGGTTTGAATAAATTAAAAAGCATGTGGTATTGATTTTTTGTTTCTTTTAGATGACCGAATTGAGAGAAACAGAAATCGAGATGATAGAAACAATTGGGGTCGTAGAGGCTATCGACGCGATAGGCCAGCTACCACCAAAAGTGGTAGAATAATTAAGGGTAGAGGTGTTTTTGTAAGTACACACAAGTATTTTTCACCGTTTCCACTTTTGTTTGTATTTCATTTCAAAATGAAAAGTATACAAATTTAAAATTAAATAAAGATGGTTGCATAATAGAAATAACAAACGTTTTCTTACATTTGGTAGATAACTAGTTATATAAATAAACTTGGCACTTATTTTGAAAACAATCTTTTTGGTGGCGAAAAATTATTCCATTAATTTTGTCAAATTTTGCTAATTTGTTTATTTTGTTGCAGCGCTTTCGTACGCCTTCGCGCAGTAGATCGCGTAGTATGACTCCAGTTCATTGGAAACAAGAAGAATCGCGGGTCATAAAACTTTCCGATTACGAAAAGGTCGAGCACGAACGCAAATTGAAACAAGATATCAATACACAATTACGCGAAGAACACCAACATTTCGATCAATCGCCCGATCATCGCGCTAAAAATGGCCGTGAAAAAGAAGTCGATTATAATGCGCTCGATTACGAACAAGAAAATCAATCGGAAGATGACGTACCAAAACGTCAGGTACCTAGTCTTGTCCAATATCCTTTGCCGAACAGTTTCCGGCCTTTAAATGTTGAGAAAGAAAACGTGGAAGCCAATCAGATTATCGAGAAAAATGATCAGTCGGATAAACCTGTTGGTGAGGAACTTGTTCTCAATAACAAGTCTGATGTCCTTGCCAAAGCTCTAGGCGTACAAATAAAAACAGGCGAAGATCCTCCTACGGGAGAAATAAAAATAAGTGGTTATGATAGGAAGTCAAATAATAAGAAGAAATCGAATTTTGAAAAAAGCTTTGGTGGTGAATACCATGGTGGAATGACCAATGTACCAGGGATTACACCAATAGTGAAACAGCCGTCGGTTGTAAACAGAATAGAAGCAAAGTTCGACGAAGAGAAACCTGAAGGTGAGAAGCGAAGTGGTCGAAATAAGTTTGAAGTAGAGAAACCAATCATGAGAAGCGCTGCACAAGACATGGGGTATAGACACCCAACGGGTTGGAGAAGAGGAGGAGGGGGGATGAGGGGAAGACGTATGAATGACAGGTAAGTAAAACATTGTGTTAACTGTATTTTTTTTATGCCTGTCATTAAAACATGTACGAATAGGTTTGATCGACGTAGGCCTCCGAGATTCTTTCGATCTCGAAGATCCAGATCACACGGCAGATCCAAATCCCGCAGTAAAAGTCCTGACAATCGCCGTCACAGGTCGCGAAGTCCTAACAACCGCAGTCGTTCAAAAGAACGTTCGCACGCTCAAAAACGTAACCGAAGTCCAGAAGCTATCAGCAGAGATAGAAAGGATAAAAGTAAGGAACGTAGAAGCAGGAGTAAAGATAAGAAAGGGGACAGGAGCAGGGAAAGGAGAAACAAAAGTAGAGACAAAGGTGGCAGAAGCACTAATAGAAGGGACAGAAGTGTAGAGAAAAAGGATAGAAGTGCAGATAGGAAGGATAATAAGAATTTAGATAAAAGGGATCGACAACGATCGAATTCACGAAGTAGTGAAGAACGACGGCGCAGGTCTAAGGATAATAAAGATAATGTGGACGACAAGAAGAAAGAATCTGATGCTGAAAAGTTTAAAAGAAGGGCCGAACAAATATTATTGCTAAAGAAGAAGATGGAATTGGAACTTTTAGAAATGAAGAAACGAAAAGAGGAAGAAAATAGAGCCAAACAGGTACTTCATAAATAAAGTTTAAATCTTACTAAATTGATTTATTTTGTTAAAAACGGTATTTTTTCTGTAATTAAATTAAATATTTTGAGGATTTATTTAGTAATTAGAACATTACTGTGTTTGTTTCAGTTATTAATCGAAGAGAAACAGCGTAAGGCTAAAGAAGAGGCAGAAATGTTGGAAAGAGCTAAGAAGATTAAACGAGATGCAATTGAAAAGGAGAAACTTTTAAAGACCGTGAAAGTTTTGCAAGAATTAGGGAAGAAATCGAACAGTTCGTCTTCTGAGAGTTCTTCTGATAGTGACTCTTCAAGTGAACCTTCTAGGTAAGTAAATGCACCTTATTCCCACAGAAAAAGTATGAGATTAATAAATTTAAAAGATAAGTTTACCATTTTAAAAGGCGTAAATCCCGTCCAAGAAATGTGAGAAGAGCGAGATCCGGTAGCAGCCGTAGAAGCAGCAGGTCCAGCGGTTATCACACACCCCCAAGGAAAAATAGAAAAATTTAAAGAAAACTTGTAATTCTTATAGTTTGATTTACTTAATTACGGTCATATGTATTCCCTGATGACAAATAAATTTATCTTAGTGGAAAATTGTCTTTTTTTTTAAACAATTCAAAATTATTTTTTATCATTTAATTCAGTTTGATTTTAATATGTAATTGCGGTTTAGATCCTAGTTTTTCTATGGTTTACTTGTATCACTTAGGTAAATGCTGGGGCAGCAATATTCCACAGAGAATATTTCATTCTCTTCTGTGTTCATTGTCTGTCTCATTCCGTAACCACTACCCACCCATTCCCACGATTTATAAAGGAAGATTGGAAAGAGTCTTCCGCCCTAGCCTTCTGCTTTGCACAAGAAGTATAAAGAAGACTGCTAACCACAAATATTTGTGGCTGGTAGGAATGAGACTTAAATATCATTCTGCTTTATATTTATGTTTTCNTTTTATAATTTAACTATTATTTATTAATAAAAACGTGTATTAAGTTCTTTGTCAGAAATTTATCGAAACTAACAGATGCAGATCGCTATTTCTATGATCTCAGCGGGTCTTAGGCAGTTTCTTGAAGTACTGCAGTAGCAGCAAAATACCACTAGATGGCGGTATAGTGTCTGCACTTGGATTATTTATTTTAAGGATAGTGAATGAATTTTTTTTAATTGTTTATTGACAAATGAATGGGTGTTTATAATTCATGTGCTCTTACAAAAATTACTTGGGGAAAGTGTACTGCTAAATTTTTTTTGATTATCTATTAATTATCAAATTTCAACCAGAATATAACGAAGTACTGATATTTTTATACATATAGTACAAATACGTAGAAATATCTAAAATAAAGCAATAATTATTTATATTCACGTTCGTCAGCAGTTATATTCACTAATTGTTATGGTGAATTGCGACTGATTATAAAAAAATCTAATCGGTCTATCGTGGTATATTTGAAAAATAAAGAGACACTAATTTTAAAGATTAAAGAATAATTGTAAATTATTACCAATACTAATTTTTATAATTTATCGTACGTAAACATTTCCTGAAATACATTAAGTCTCTATTTTGTACTTCTGCTTTGAATGATAGTTAATAATGCAAATTGGATTGATGTAAATAATCTTACCTCTTTCAACTTTTATGAATTCACTTTACAATTGCCACCAAATACTAGGTGGTTCAAAAAAGGAAATATGTAACTATTCAGTTTAAAAATTTTGTGTCGTTTTATTTCTTTTTTATCATCAGTTAGAACGTAAATATTTTGTAAAATTATTCATCCTATTCATGTCAAGTACATTAGTATACAGGTTAAGCAAAATGTTCAGCGAGCATGAACGCAAATGCATAATTTTGGACTCATTATTTTATGATTCATTTATATGAAAAGTTTATACAAGGCCTTTGTACGAATTTTTCTATACCATACTATTTCTTAAAAGATAATGCCATCCATTGATAACTGCCTTTAATAGATTATCCCTACTTATATCTTACGATTAAATGTCCACATTACACCTTTATTCCAATAATGTGAACTTAGATAAGAAATTTTCTGCGAACTAGGTAATTCTGGAAACTAGAAAAAAATAAATAAGTCCACCATATTTGTAAGTCTTACTAGTCACAAGAAACAATACCTCAAAAGGCAATTTTGATTTNCTGCCTTTAATAGATTATCCCTACTTATATCTTACGATTAAATAACGATAACGATAAAAAAACATAAAAGTAGGTAAATATTAAATTAAGTAAGAATTTCATTTTGGTTTATAAAAAAGATATTTATAGGAAGTACTTATTTAAAAATAGAACTACAAATTTTACGCACTCGTATTAATATTTATCTGTTATACGTAGGTACGTAAATACAACACGTGTCATTATGGTAGAAACCCATACTATAAGATGGTATGTAGGTATTTTTAACAATGTAGACATTACTTAACATAGTAGGTAACTGTATAATAATTATGCTGTTTACATTCTCGTTGTTATTATTCTAGCAAATTATGCATATAATTTGAACAAATAAATAAGAAAGATAAGACGCACACAAACGCTGCCGTCTGCGTCCTCTTGCCATTTTCAATTTATCTGTAATTGCACTGCGTACTACACTACAATGAGCGATAGTGTGTTCATTCATGTTCGTCCTTCTTTTCTACGGTACATACAGTGGCTCATGTTCAAAATTGGATACCCTTACATCATTGAATAAATTCTTTATTTGATTTAAACTAAACAAACTGCGAATATCTGGTGTTAGTTTATTTTAAGTTTTTTTGTGTTATTTGCGAAAAATATTATAGATATAACCATTTGTTTTTTTAATTTCGTTACTTAAGAAAGAAGCAATAGTGATATGCTTAATATTAAATATTGTTATACATTGTTACACTTACATATCGTATTTTCATTTAGTCTGCATTATTGCATAGGTACATAAGTTGTGCAGATAAAACAATGTTAACAAATATATAACTGGGAAATCCCGAAATAAAAAAAAGTATTCCTACTGAGATACGTACTAGTACTGACAAATTAAAGTAATTACTACCTAATAATACAGCTGCTGAATGAAATCGCTTAACTTTTGTTTAGTGCGATTGTAATTTTTTATAACGATAATTCTTATTAACTGCATTAGAAGAATGAATATTGCTACTCTTAAAATACGTTTTATTTGCATAGTTACTGAATAAAAAAATAATTTTTGTCTGTTTTCTTCATATTCTTTATTAATTAAAGGTGCGCTTTTTAATGAATAGTTTGTTGAATAAAAGAAATAACCGGTTTTTTGCATTATTTAACGTTTAAAATCATTGGCTACTGCCTACATCACATCAGATATGAGCAATGGGCGTAACTTTTGCCTTCGACTGTATGGGTTTGATTTTTCGTGGAACCACTGATACTACCTGTCCTGCGCATGTCACTTCAACATGCCGAACGCTGAATGGTGGGCTCAACTCATCGGCATCCGTCCTGGGCAGCAGCAGTTCACGCGGAAACGGCGACCGAAGTTAGAAAGTTAGCGAAGAAGTGAATCGTGATCCGTGAATTCTTGCAACAGACACTAAGCGTTTATTGTTGTTTGTTGTTATTAGTGTTTGTGTTTTTTCCCCGTAACGATTTCCAAATGACCACTCATATATGGCGGTACCAATTCTTCAGTTCAGCGTTGTGTTTACAGTAGGACTGTGCTTAGGCCCTGCAGCAGGTGAGTCCGACATAACCAATTTCCTAAAACAAGTCACGAGCGGTCGTGCGTTGTTGTTTGTATACATTCGAATTGCCAACATGGCGAAGCTATGGCGAGGTCCTTGTGTAGTAATAAACCACCGAAACTTAACTTAGGTAATTCTATTCAGTTGCCGAATCATTGCTGAGGTCTTGTGCATCTGTGTCTTCTTAATCGCGTAATTATCACGCTCGTCCACATGTCGAGCTGTCAAGTGAACATGTGGTTGCGTTCCTGTTTTGTTTTTATTTGTCGAAATTTAAGACGAGAACAATGTTGTTTTTGCATTGTAAAGTGATCGTAAGGTTTTTGCAACGATTTGAATTCAATCATCTTTTGACCGAAATTAGACGAGAAGCGATGGAATACATAAATCGGCCTTTCCCGAACAACTTTGGTGTTATTGGCCTCTTCTTTAGAACGTCAATATGTTTCATTGTGCCTCTTATTAGGTACCTGTTAACTGTTTGCTCAGTACGTAGGTTTTCCTTCATCGTTTTGCGTTGTCTGCGTTTATTACTTTAACGTAAATAAAAAGAGTGTATTGTGCCTATTTAAAAGCGCTTGAATAATAAATAAGTAGGCATAAATAGTGGTTGCGATTAGGTCTAAAGAAGTAAATTCCTTTTTTTTAACAATTGTAATTATTGATTTTGTCGCTTTTAATCAATTTTCTGCGTTCTAGCTATTTCCTGAGGAAATTGTATTGCGTAGCTACGAAAAATGGGCGTGTGCTGCCTATTACATTTTCATCGTTTTCCACATGATTCATTCCGAGGGAAAATGATAATAAAGCTTCAAAAATATTATTATAGATAGATCGTCGTAATGTTTTGTTAAAATTTCACGTTCTATTTCGTTTTCACGATGAAAAATTGGTTTCGTTCGTATATTTGTAACGTATCCACTTCGCAATCTTTATAGGTACCGATGAGGTTATTCACATTGGCATCGGTATGAAATAACATGTTTATCTTTTGATACCTATGTACATACTTATATACATAATGTGCATATAAATAAGTTACCTATAGAATATAATACCTGATTTTACTAATCGTAAATGTAATACAGTCGAAAGAAACAGCTTGTTGAACTAGCTGTAAGTTTTGTCTGTTTTTTTTTTCGTTTGGTAAATTGATGACATTTTTATTTTTTTAAATAGGCATAATACCTATAATGCCTCACATAGAATATAAAAATGCGGGCGGACGTGTACCTATTAAATTAGCATATATTCTGAATCGTTTCGTGCGTAACAACTACATAGGTATTGTGTGTTAACAAACAAATACCTAACAAATTTTAAATTTCAAATGGTCGTGTTTTACGAGGTTTCTTCTGAATTGTGCGTATTATACGCTATTATAATATACCTACAGTACCCATAATAGGTAGTATGATTCGCCGCTAGTCAAGGTATCCTATCTCTAGTTGAATGAACTTGGTAATTATTCATAAAATAATTGATTCGTGGAAAAGATCAAAAATATGAACACCTGGTCGTAGTACGTACATGTATTAGCCAACTAAATAGCTGAGAATAGAATAGAAAATATTACTTACCATGTCTGTATTTTTCTTTTAGCGTTATTCATATCCGAAAATATCAAACGTTTACGAAGGCGTAAAAGGATCAAACTTAATTTTTATTTTGAAATTTCGAGTTGTAACTCAAAATCTTCATTTAATCGCAGCATAATTACTCTTATCCCAACTTAACCTAAGGCAGGTTTTCTTTTTTGTACCTGCACATTGCTCTGAACAAAAGAAACAAATTACTACGACAACACTCACTTCGTTCTTGCTGTCTTTACCTACCATAACCTAATAGTTCTAACCAATCAAATAGAAGCATTAAGTTTGATTAGATTAGGATCACAAGGTTGCAATAGGTAACAATAACACGAAGGAGGTAATTGTGTACTTTCTTTTGTTTACACAGCTGAACCAAATCAATTATATCCCAACTTAACCTAAGGCATTGAATGGCAGACAACAATCACTAAAACACTAATAGATAACTCAATACATCACCTAGAAAATTTAAGTTGACATTTCAAACTTTAAGTTAATACGCCTGTTTCGAGTTACAACTCAAAATTTCGAATTGCAGGTCGAATTCGCGAATAACAAGTCAAAATTCTGAGTTACAAATCGAAATTTCAATTATGTTTGGCCCTTTCTGCATCTTCGTAAATACCTGCTGTTAATAAATGTTGGTCATAGTGTCCGGCTATTTTTTTTAACAATTATTTTAATATTTTATTTTTGCAAAAGTCTCTTCTCATTTCAGTTTTATTAATAAGAATATGTACACAGAGATCTGTTTATATCAGTGGTAATTATAATGTTTTAAATAGCCCTTGTAATGGCGTTTTATACGTAATATATGCCTAAGTGAAGAGCTGAGCGTGTGGCTGCCGCAGCTCTGCTAGCAGGAGCAGGTTGCAATGACAGCACTGACATCAGCGGCACATTTAGGTACATGTTTAGTGAATAGGGAAAAGTAGGATCTAGACCAACCTTCTGCACCTTCACATTTTCTGAGGGATATTGGATGGCTTTACGTTTTGTCTTACCTGTAAAACAATTAATGCTTTTTTCTTGTATTGTTTCGCTTTTTCTCTGTGGGATATTGCTATTGATGACATTTATTCGATTACGATGAAACTTTAGTAAGTTGCGGTGTCCACCTCAATGATGGTTTCTGAATTAAATTAAAGGAAGTTTTGTGACTCGATGAATTGTTTTATTAAAATTTATTAGTGGAATATATGTATGTACGTTATTTGCTACTAGGATTTTTTATTATCAGTGACTATTAGGAATTAAAACGGGAAAGGTATTACAAGAATATGAAAGATTTCTTCTTTCACCTTCAGATGACTGGTAATTCCTTTATATGTTTATGCATTTTGGTATTTGGCATTTGCCAGAGGAAATGGGGACACATTTTAGAAAAAAATTCGGAAATTACGGTCTTTCCGGTAACGTGGGGGAAATCCTCGCATCTACTTAGTTTGTGACTATATAAAAATTTTCGAATATGGTTTTGCCTATTTAATGTATTTAGTTTCATTTCTAAAGGTAACGTACATTTATATGTATACATAGTACGTAGCACGTAACTAACCGTAAGTTTGAGCTAATTATTCACGTGATATTGGCAATAGAATATCAGTGTGTTACGTAGATTCTAAAGGCTATTATTAGACATTTAATCGGATGGGTTCACGGTTTCTAACACTAAGGCTTCACCTTATTGGGTTAAATAAATTTTCTTGGACTTTCTCCAATATTTTTTTGTTTTATTTTATTTTACTCCATGATAATACATAAAAAAATCGCATTCTGATATTTGTAACATTGAAATCTTTATTTTTGTGTAGCATTTAGGTTAGGTCAGGTTAGACGAGGCTAGGTTAAGTTAAGTTGCCTGGGAGTTATGGGATTACTTACCCCTGTCGGTAAAGTTGGTTTAGAAAGAATGTATTTATTTTTTTTGCATGATTACTTATCTCATGCATTTTATGAGCAAATTAACATTTTTTTATCCGTTTTGTACAATATACCTAATTATCTAAAATGGAATTGATGAAGTTTTTAGATATTGTAACTCCATTTTAATGTAGAAAACAAAAACAAATAAAATCTATCACAAAAAACCTCGCACAGAGACCATCATTCATTCCAAATCATTTCACACAATACCTCATAAATCAGGCTTATTTCATTCATCCCTCCACAGATTGATCACGGTGCCAGTGACGACAGAGGATTACAATAAAGAATTAAATAGAATTTATTTTATCGCTAAAAACAATGGTTACGACACTTCCCTTGTAACTAACTTACTCAATAAATAACTAAACAGAAAAACTTCAAAATTTGGTATACCCTTACGAAAACAAACAGTAAGCTAGGAAAATATATAAAAACACAACAAAGACAACAATCCAGTAGTGTATAAACTTAATTATGGTACTTACTATAAATCATACATACGACAAACAGGTAGAAGTTTTAAAGAACACATTAAAGAACACAAAAAAGCTTTGATAATAACAACTCAAACTCGACTTATGTGCTTCATTTGAATGATAATAATCATATAGGATTATTCGGAAAGTCATTTGATCTTTTTTTTGTGGAAATGAAAGACAGTTTTCGTATAATAAACAAATACTTTATTAAATTATATATTGACCGTTCTGGTCCAACACCTTTTGCCATCTTTCTGGTAGTAGCATAATTCCACGCTCATAAAATTTTTGGTCTTTGCTGGCAAAAAACTGATCGAGGAGGTTTTTGACCTCCTCATTTGAGGT